CAAATTATGATTCGTAGGTTAATATATAAAATTTTATAATACAAATAGCAGTGAGTATGTAAATTTTTACATATTTCAATTTCGGTTTATTGAATATAATGCATAGTTCATATAATAAAATTAAAACTAACAAACTTTTTAATCTTCTTTGATAAGACACTACGCTTGTCCTTCCATTTCAGTCAATCCATTATTGCTTTCCTTAGCAATATATTCATATCGCTGTAATGATTTTGCAAGTAGATCTTTCGAAATTTGTGGGTGCAGGTGAAAGTCTTTATTCGGATCGTCGTGGTGTCGCCTACGAGCGTATCGTCAGCGATGATTCTGCACAGAGACACAATGTCTCCGTCCATACAATGTGTGTTTGGTGGCCAGGTGGCGCGCTTGTGCGCAGATTGAAATATTATTAATTTATCGCAATCACATGGTCACACGTCTTCTCACTATCAATACACAATTGCAACTGACGTATGCCAAATCACTCTCCTTTTTTTTCGTTCTTTTTTCATACATTACATTACATACACAATTCACGCAACACCTCAATCATTACACGCATACTCATTTATCATAATTGCCTGAATTCATGTTATCTCCATCCCATGCATACTTGTTCCACTCATTCCAATACATATATATTTAAAAAGTCTGTGTAACCATTACCACAATCTTCCCCCTTGGTTTCACAGATTTTTACACACAAAGTTTTTTACATTTTCATTATGTCTGTTAAGAAGAAAAGTCTTAAAAACCATTGTTTATCATTGAATTCGAGATCATTTTTACCGATTTCGTGAAATAATATTTGTATATCATCAAAAAACTCTAGAAATCTATTCGATTCAATTTCCCCGAAAAAGCTTTAAAGCGTCTGTGTATTAATGCTGATCGTGCTATTATCATGTTTACGATCTTAACAACCTTTTCCATTACATCCTTAAATTGTTGCGTAGATGCCTTTGCAAATAAATTTTCTTCATGTATGATACAATGAAACGATAAAAGTGAGCAACCAAGTTTATTTTCCATTAATTTTACAAATCCAACATCCAGCAAATCCTGTCATACACGGAGCACCATCAGATGTTATGGAAAACAGTTTACTTTTTAAATCCAATACTTGCCCATTTTTTAAATTTATAAACTCTTGTACTTGAGGAAAAATATCAGTACCTTTGGTTGTGTCATTCATTGAAGCAAGAACACAGTTCTTCATTGACATTCGAGCTATTTATTGATGCAAATCTAATAATTATTGCAAGCCTACCAATACTATCTATATCGCATTATATCTATATTCATCAATTGCAATACTAATTATGTCACAGGATAACAAATCATTTTTGGCCATATCTTCAACGCGACGCTGGACTGTTCTAGCTGACAATGGCATTTCTTTGATTCTCTCAATTATTTGCTTTTTATTTGCCAAGTCGTTAAATAAGTGTTGGGAACAATTTATGAATGCGTTTTTCAAAAACGTGCCGTCTGTAAATGGTTTTTCGTTGGTACCAATGCTAAGAGCTGCAACAAAGCTGACAGATGTAGCGTGATTGTTGCTGGTAACAAAACTCTTTAAGAATTTCTTTTCTTTTCCAAAATTTAATACACGTTTAGCAATGTATTCAGGTTTATTTTCATTTGCCATTTCACTCGCATCTTTATGTTTTGAAAAAAAGTGCCGCTCAATATTATAAGTCCTGGCTGTAAATATATCTGTACATAAAGTACATATAAATTTGTCACCATTTTCGATTCACTCATACTTTCCTGTCTACACATTTTGAAATAATCTCTTTTTTGCTTTTTCTTTGTTCATGGTAATTTTTTTTTAAATAATATTTATTTCACTTGGTAATCATTATTTAGCTGCGTAATTATAATTGCATCACTATTCTTGTGCTACTGAACATGTGCTATAACTATAACTGACACAACTGAGAGAACGACACGCGCGTCCAAGAATGGTAAAATTTGTTTGGACAATGTCGCTGTATTCCGCATACTATCATTACTGCAACTTTGTAATCGACATGGATCTTATATACATAAACACTTATGTGTATTATATCCATGGTAAACGAACTAAAATGTTGTTCTTAGTATCTATTTTCAGTTTTTTTTATTCTCAAAATTTTGTTTCATGTTTATGATTTATAATTTATTTTTATATATTATACTTTATTTTCGGAACTAAAGTGGGTCATTTGAAATTATCAAATGGGTCAGTCGGTGACCCGTCAGTCATAGGTTGCCGACCCCTGCTCTAGCCCGTCCAAGCGCGACGGTTTGTCGTACGTAGGGTTTCTAATTCGCGCTTTAATCCTGAGTTTTCGAGTTTGGAGTCTTTCAATATTTCTAGTTCTCGTATTAATTCAGTCTTTTCTTCTTGGAATTGTTTTCGTTCCTCTTCGAGTCGTTTTTCTTTGTCATGCAATTTCTTGCGTAGGACGGTAACCTCGTTATCGGTAGAGGGGCAGGTCTGCTTGTGATCATTGTGTAGTTGCCATTGTATCAGTACGGGTTAGTTACTGAAGCGCGGAGATTTTCAAAAGAAGTAATGAAGCAGTGCTTATATACTTCTTTACACCGTAATTGGACTTCTTACATACTCTCTGATTGACACACTGGCACACTCTTAATGACTGCAAAAAGACGGGCTTAAAAAACCCTTAAAGACTGACTTACCCGCGCCCTTACACCCTTATTTAAACCATTCATTCTGTCCTCGTTCATACACTGGATTTCTTTCTCAATCATGCCTCTTTCCCACGCAATCTCGGTGGGCCAAGCATTTCAACCACTCTGGACGCATCCCTAAACTTTCACTGGACTTTATCATAAATATTCCTTGCAGTTAATCCTCTTGCACGCGATCACTTTTGTTATAATCCCAAACACTCTTGACATTTTTTCAGGCCCGTACTTATCCCAATCCCACATTCGGCTATTCCTGCTTAATCCTCTTCGAAGGCCGAAGACGTCCCACTAAACGTCTTCATCGAGTGTACCGCGGTCGTTGCGATACGAGGTCTTCATCGCCTCCTACCCGAATTACCTCATACCTATCATTTCGTTTGACTTTGGTTACTCGATATGGTCCGAGATACCTTGTTTTCAACTTAGAACTAGGTTCAAACGGAGTCTTTTTAACCCTTTTAGTGCCGAGCGGAGAATGGGTGCCTATGCGAAGATAACTGGACGAATTTACTAATAAAAACCAAAATAAGAATGATACTTAAAAAGTTCAAAATGCAGCATATTACCGAAGAAGGGAAGAATAATGTAATGTCAATTGTGTTTCAATATTCATTGAAAATCGTACGAAAAACATGGATATAAAACACGATGAAAAATATAGAAAGAAGTTTCTCTTCTAGAAGCAATATTTGCACATAGGAATAATCATCGTTTGATCACAGTTTTATGTGGATCCCGTAGTATGAAGTATAAATATTACATGTTCGATCATTTTTAATAAAATAACCAATATAACAAAAAATTAAACCCAAAAATAATTTTTTCAATTCTTTTGCGATGAAATTAGACTGTTTCTAACGTTTCATAAATTTATTTTGAGGTAGAGCTTTCTCGCAATGCGAAGAATAAGGCGCCATCGCATACGCAACGATATATCGTCGTTGGCACTTTTCGCAAGTGTAGCATACGGCGATATATCGTCGTCTGGCACTAAAAGGGTTAATTACTACCAAGTCGCCTTCCGCATATTTCGTCGGTGCTTTACATTTTCTGCCGTGCCCGAGTTGATTCTCTTCCTGTATTTTTAATAAATTTTCCTTCGAAATTTTTCTTAATACGTGACGTGCGCGATCGAATTTATCAGCTATTCCCCGTTGTATTATATCGGATAGCCGTACATCTTCCGCTTGTGGCATTTTGACGCCGAACACCAATTTGAACGGGGACATTCCTATAATTCGTTGACACGTCATATTTATGCTGCGCTGTACCCGATCTATTATTCGGTATCACTTTGCCGGGTTACTTAAACATAGCTTCGTTAGTACCGGTATAATTATCCTGTTTATCTTCCCGACCTGACCATTCGCACGTGGAACGCTTGCAGTAATGAGAATATGCTCGATATTCTTTAACCGTTTGAGTGCCACGGAGCGATTTTGCGCTTCTCCTCTGTCTCTCGAACAGTGCCAGCGCTCTAGGCTTCGAAACCGATAACCGCGACACGCTCGGTTTTTGTCGATGCGCGACTTTACGGTTACCACTCCATTTTAGGTAAAAGTAATGAATGATACTAGCAAAGGAACGAATTTTAATTTCAGTTATAATATGTAATATATAATATATAATTAAAATGCACAAATATGCTTGTCAAAGCATAATGCATGCAAACCTTTTTTACATTCTACACAAATTAGTCTAGACCTTTTTATAGTACTGTTTTTTGTACTGCAAACTACGCAACGCCTCAAGTTGCGTCCTGGTAGTTTTTCTAGTCCGTATACCTTTTTCCCCCTTATGTTTCATTCATTTTCCCTTCTTCCTAACCATTCATGTTCTATTTCCGAAATAATATTCGATATATATTGAAGTCGTGACATTGCTTCTCTTCCCACAGTTTCCTTGTACAACAAATACGAATTTAATACCATTCTTGTAAATATATCGAAGGTCACTTTTTTCCAATACTTCACTGTACGACGTTCGTCCAGATAGGTATATAACATTTTGTCCGATTCGTCTACACCACCCATATAATTATTATATGAATTGATAATCTGTGGTTTTGTTTTTTGTCTTTCTCTTCCATAGCGATTTTGAATTAATGTTACATTCGCTGCCAATGCCTTTGTAGAAATTAACAAAACGGGGTTCTTTGAACTCTTTTTTTCACGATGTGCACATAGAACTACCTCGGCATTGCGAAAATATTTCGTTTCTCCAACTTTTAATTCCTTAGCTTCCTTGGGGATATCTTTCCTATTTCTCCTGATTCTTCCCGTTATATAAGTATTTTTTCAATGTAAAAATTTGGCTAACGCAGTGCTTGTAAAATAATTGTCAACATATACGTGATATCCTTTATCTAAACAATCAGCATCTTGCAATAATTTTGTTACAACGTCATAACCAAGCCCATTTTGCGAATTCTTTGATTGAGTAATACTGGAATGACACAGTGTTCCCACTAAAGACTCATCGATAGATAACATTTTGTGTGGAGTGTAATATGTTTGAAAGATCCGATTGGCGTGCTCAACAATCGGATTGAATTTAGCACATGGATCATATTTTTCGTGCCCCGGTGGAAAAGATTTTTTATTATCAACGATATGAAAACATCTTAAAATATTTTGAAATCTGTTCCTTGAGAACATCTTCTTAAACCAAGGAATTGCTCTAGAACTTTCAGTCCAATATGAATATATTGTTGGTCTATTTGTTATCCCCATTTCCAATAGTACGGCTACAAATGCCTTCAGTTCCAGGATAGTGACAGGATACCAATTTACCATTCTAGAGTTATCAGTCCACCAAATCCACAAGATTTTGATAACATTTCTTCTGCATATTCGTTTGTTTCCTCAACCATCATTGCCCAAAGAGAATTTGTGAAAAAAAGATTAAAATATTCAATCGGTTTGGCTCTATTAGATAAACGGCATCGCGGTCCCGACATTTCAATGAATTGAAATGAATTGCCTTGGTCAATGTATTCATTTTCCGTAACCATGATATATTTTGAAATGTCTCCAGTATTAGGAATATTATTGTCAGAAACAGAATCGTCGATAACATTAATCCTTCTTCTTTTAAAAATAATAACTTCACTATCATCGCTATCGTAATTCGAATCCTCTATTATATTGCTCGTCTTACGTTTAGAAGGCATTTAATTGCTGAAGGGCATCAAATAAAAATATAAAAAAATTATACTGTAGAATACAAAAAAATAGTGAAAATTTTACTGTACATACCTTTTATATATGCAATAAAATATTTAAATTATATTCTTATATTATATGACGCAACCCAGACGCTGATAAATCTGTACTTACGCTCAGAAAGATGGCAGAACAACAATGAATTGAAACAATTACAGCTACTGTATAAATCTGAAAACAGCGCAATAGCGCTCCTTGGCATT